TGTAGACATTGTTATTTATAAAGGCATAAGAAGCCTTTGTAAGGAGGAATGAGGTATGGGAAATGCCTATTTTTAGGAACTAACTTCACTGATCCTGTGTTTCAGAAATATGTGCTTTCTTAATTCTTTTAAATCCCAGAATAAGTAGGATTTCAAGAAAAAATATGTAAGGAAAGAATTGCCTTGGTTTAAAAAACTTTTTAAAACCAGTTGTTGCTACCCTTGTAGCTATTAAGTATAGTCATCTTCAACAGGTAATATAGACACCCATAGTTCTTGAGATTATAGAAGTTTGTCTCTTGTTAGGTTTTACTAAACCCACTCCAATTTTCTCATCCTCACTTTTTAAATTCAATAGAACAGCTATGGAAACCAAAAATCCTCACCAGGAAATTAAAATTTTCAGAAATAACAACATTAGTGATTTTTTTCCTTAAAAGGCACTATTTGCTAATTTAGAGATACCAAAATGCATAAGATGTGCTAGGTGTTTTTTTTTGATTAACTGATAAATATAATAATTAGCTTTACCCTGTATTTTCAGGGCATTATTTATTTGATAAATACCACATTTAGTGTCTAAACATTTGTAAGCATAGGTCGCTACCATTTCCCCATAACCTTAAAAATGGACCTAATAAAATTTAAGAGGGTCTTTTCCAAAGACTTCTAAAACTTCATAATACATTAATTTATACACCGCTTTTTATTTCTAATGGAAGAAACAGCCTTGCATTGTGGTGATAATAGAGTAGAGGAGTAGAGCTTCTTTTATTTTTGCAGTTAAATTAATATGGGGTCTTTCTTTTTGGCAGCAGGGGTAGGGGGTGTTCTCTGAATTTCGAGTTATGTTATTGAGACCATATAATGAAAATGTTGTAACTTATGTGGCTTGGTCTTGGTGTGATGGCACATACAACCCACTTTATAAATGAGTTGTTTTAAATACTATACCTAATTTTGAAGCTGAAAATCTAACACATAATGTTAGTTATATCATTTGTGTTTTAAGATGTATTAGACTATACTTTTCCCGAACTAAAAAAAAAAATTTTAGAAATTAAGTCAAAATTGACTACCTTTAATTTAACTTAAATGGATTACCATAATTAATATTATGTGATGCAAATATACTTTGTAATCGATAATGTCGGTAATACAGTGCTTTTAAATGTTCCTTGCTCTTTGCAGACGAGGTCTCTATCTTGAGATATTTATATTTGAAATTTACAATCTGACCATGTTCCTTTGAATAATATATTAGAATGTTGCCTTTCTATTAACATATTATAATTAATTTTAGTATTATTCGAACAATTGATGGTAAAGTGCTACACAAATACAAACATCCAGCTGCAGTGTTTGGTTGTGATTGGAGCCAAAACAACAAGTACGTATTTTTTTCTAAAATAAATAATAATTACTTTTGGAGATTTTAAATAACCACAAAGTTTAGTGCTATTCCTGTAGGTAGTACTCACCATTCTTGTTAGGTAATATTCCCCTTGCCTAACAAATGAGAAGGAGCCTTGTAATTGTCCATTTGTTTTAGCTATTTTTATTCCATCAAGTTTTTACGTGATTTAGAAATATTGATATCCTGTTCTCAAAACAACTTTCTGATACTTAGGAAAAAATCATACTGCTAACTAATGAAAAATGCAAATTAGTCCATTCTATGTGTAGCTTCTACCATAGAAATGTGGCTCTTTGTTTAATTTCTTTTAGGAATCTACACAGTGGTATTGCGCCACCATGACTTTCTATTGTCCCCTAGCTGATGTGAGTGCCTCTCCACTGGATAATTTCCCAAGTTGTGGAACTTAAGTGGATGGTTTTGAAAAGTCAACCTTGTCTGAGAGCCAAGTATTTACCATGTAAAAATAAGCTTAGATTTAAAATTAAATCCAAGTCAAATCTCTACTAAAATTGGACCTTTAACTCATTACATTTCCAAGAATTTGGTGTTTCAGACCTCTCTTAGGTGGGAAATAAATCACATTTAAAAATTCAAACTTTCTTTGGATATTATCAAAAACAATGTGAATTATATTATGCTTTTCCATACTACATGTGAGAAATATATAAATTAAGATATTAAAACCTTATTATACTTGTATTCTGAGTCAAACCACATATTATACAAAATGATGGACCTATGTATTTCTTCCAGTAAATGTAGAAGGGTTTATAACACACTGTTAGGGTTATAAGCGAATGAGCTCATGACCCGCTCATCGTCCAATATTTCTTACCTCAGAGGCTGATATTGCTAACAACGAAACTGCTAAAGCCAGCCGCCTTGGCCTTTCTTTTATGTCTTTTCATCAATTTCCTTTCCAGTCAGCCACCACTTCCAGTCATATTTTCCATTTGAGCATTCTTTTATTTCTAACCATCACCCTGCCACCAAACATAACATTTGTTTTGTTGTTGTTGTTGTTGTTGTTGTTTTGACTCCTGTAAAACTCCTTTTAATCAGTTACAGCATCTATATGCTTTATCACCACTTCTTCTCTCCCTACCCCACCTCTCTATGCTGCTGTCAGAGTGAACACTTAAAACGCAGATCTGAGCACACCATTTTACTGCTTAAATCTTTCAAGAGTTTCCCGTTAATTGTAGGATAAAATGAAAACTCTCAGCAAGCCCTACAAGGAAGTCCTGGTATAATCTGGTTCCTTCTGGTTACTGTCTACTTTATTCATCTCATTCACAGCCTGGCTCCCCCTGCTCCTTGCATCCAGCCACACTGGCTTTCCATTTCTTGAATTAGCCAGCTGACTTTTACCTCAAAGTTTTCACTCATGCTGTCCCCCTTTATCTAGGATTCTACTTCCCACCCCACACCATATACCCCATCAGGATTGGACATAGATCACAGCTACCTATCCTTCAGCTCTCAGCTCAAAAATCACTTCCACAGAGAAGTCTTCCTTAACCCCTATATTAGGTAAATTTCCCATATAAAATGCCTTTAGAGCACTTAATATAACAAAATTAAATTTTTAGTTGTATATTTGGTTGCATATTGGCTGTCTTGCCTTCTAAAAAGGAAGCCCCATGAGATCACAACCTGTGTTATCTATGGTTAGCAGTATATTCTTAGCAGAACACTGTGTCACTAACCCTCATTGTGCCTTGAAAAAAGTAAATGTTCAATAAATATTCGTTAAATATACAAATAAATAGAATTACCTTCTATCTGACCAATTAAACAATTCCACATTCCTGTTTCTCTGTTTTATAGAGTTAATAAGCATTTGGCCAGTTGAAATAAAAATTAGATATTAATTAATATGTTTGGTTGATTAAGAAAGCTGTATTTTAAAATGACATTGTAAGTCCTTTGTATTTAACTATTAGGCTTGTTACCAAACATACCTAATAAACTTCATTTTTAAAATTTTCTAATTGCTACATTCACTTTACACTTAACATCTTAGTAGATAAGCGAAAGTATCTTGAACTTATCAAAGTTTATTTATAAAGTATCTCTGAATTTATAATTTAGATATCTTTATGTACATTCTTTGAATGTTTATGATATCATTACTAAGATTTTATATTTCTGTATCTGAATATACATATATACACAAATATACTCATGTATACATGTAAATATATGTATGTATACAAAATATATTTTCCTAAATGTGGAAACTGGCTTGTTTGCCAGTGGGCCCTGGGAAGATGTCATCTGCATATTTTCAGATTGCCATACCAGTTTGCAAACTGGTGTATTTCTACATGTGAGCTTAAATAAATATAAGCATTATAACCCATGACAAAACCAACAATTCGTAGTTTTGGAAGGGTTTCGATGATAGTTGGGTTCCAAAGTGCATGACTTCTCCTCTTTATCTTTAGAATGTGGGGACAGTTGATATGATAGAGTAGATGTTCCTCAAGTAGACTATGTGCTGGCAGGTGCGTGACTTCCACAGGTCTGCCTAGTACTCATGCTTCCTTTCCTAGCAGTATTCCAAGTGTGACCACTAGGGTACAAGTAGTTGCTTAGTTTACTCTCACTCTTGGGACAATAATGAGCAAAGAACATTAAAAGGTCATATTATATTTTCAGGAGATCCTTAGTTGCATCAAACAGTTAAAGTATCTCAAAGAGGGGAAGCCACCAAAAAGGAATGGAAAAATAGACTGTGAGTTACTGTCCAGTGAGGCAACCCTGGCTGCAGTGAGATTTTCCAGCACACTTCCAGGGGGAGCACCGCTGTTTGTATCATGCCAGAAAAAAATTTAATAAATGGCCATGGCATGTAATAATAATTTGCTTACCACCAAGTAAGAAAACCTTATCACTCATCTTTTGGGACTCTTCTTAAGACTCACTAGTTACAAAATACAAAGTTTGAGAAACATGCAGAAAATTATGAGTGTGGACATTTTGAAAAAGAACTTACAGAAATATAAATACCATTATCTCTGATCTAAGGTAAATAAAATAATAATTCAACTGATTAAAAGGGAACACAGAGAGAAACTCTTTCTATACTGGGGCAGTTTCTGTAAATAAGCAATAACATGGTTATACACGTTTCTACATATGTAAGTTTTTAGTCTAACTTCATTAAGAAAGCAAAAAATTCTACTTTTAAAAAGTAGAACTATTGTACACTTTTAATTATTAGTAACATAATAGCTAATTTTTCATATTTTAATGTTCCATTGATGATATTTCAGAGACATGATAGCCACTGGCTGTGAAGACAAAAATGTTCGTGTCTATTACGTAGCCACCAGCTCTGATCAACCACTGAAAGCATTTAGTGGGCATACAGCAAAAGTGTTTCATGTTAAATGGTCTCCTCTGAGGGAGGGAATTCTCTGCAGTGGTTCTGATGATGGGTATGTATTTTTGGATTCTAATTTTCTAGTCCTTAAAATCATAGCTTATATTTTCCTAGAAATGTACATATTTACGTGATCAAATTATTAACATGTGTGGAAACATTTTAAATATGAACTTAACAAGTACACAGGTAACAAGTACCTAATTGCATTTAACTAAAACTAAATTTAATTCTGCCATGCTTATATTATCATTATATTCATGATTTTTATTCCCTTATTTATTCTGCTTACCATCAATGCTTATTTCTAGCTTATTAGCAAGAACTAAACAAAAATTTTAAAAGGGTCTGTGGGAAAAGGGAAAAAGATCTAGAACAAATAAAAGAAGAATTTGTTTTTAATAGTTTTCTTATGTCTAATATGGAAAACAGCTGTACTCTGGAATAAAATATTATCGTAAATTTTAACATGAAGAGAAGATATTTTAGAAATGAGAGTGAGTTAAGAAAAATGTTAAATCAGAGTTCCTGAAATCTTATCTATATTCTATATTCAAACAAGATAGATTTACATAGTATAGGTTTTTTAGTCACTATTTGAAAATGGGAAAAATTTATGTAATAAAAATCTTACTTTATGCAAGTAAAATTCATTGTACCTAGTAACTACAAGTTTAATATTGAATAATTCAACATTTTCATCTTGAATTTTTGATATAAATCCCAACTTAATAACAAAAAACAATTATGAGATTTTGGGGGTTATCACTTGAAATGTTACTTCTAATATGGTTATCCTGTGAAAGTGAATATGAATTCAATTATGAGATTATTCTAGTCTCTTAACATAAATTTCAACATCTAAATTTTATTGTGCATGAAAAAAGGTATAATTTTCATTTACTGTCTAAAAAATATTTTCAGAAAGATACCAGTAATCATTCTACTGACTTATGATAATGAAATTGAAAGGCTTTGTTAAATTCTGGTTATTGGTCCCTTTAGTAATCATTGTTAATGTAGATGAAAATCATATGTCCCTTTAAATAAAAGTCAAAACTGTAAGGAAACCATTATTGATGGATTCATGGCATACCTTGCAGATGCTATGCTTAAGCTTGGGAAGCCTGAGACACTCCTTATATGCAGTGGGGCATATACAAGCCTTTCTTAGGTTTGACCAAAAAACATACATTGGCACTTCAAAGCCTAACTATTAATAACTTATATCATAAAAAGAAAGACACTGGTTCTAGTGGCCCTGCAATTACATTAAATTATTTTTATACAAATCACTTTAATATATTCTTATTTATAAAAGTATGATATAAAACTTAAAGTATTTAAATGCTAACATATATAAGAAATAGCACCAAAAAATTTAAATTATATTTGGCTATATTATAATATACTAGGATAATGGGAAAAAGAAGAAAGGAGTCTTTTTATATGAAGCAGAAAGAGATATGCCTTAAAGAGATAAAAATATATGATGTAGCTCCTTTATGGTGCAATACAACCTTTGAAGTATTAATATTTTGGTATTGTCAGGTTGGCACAGATCTGTGACTAAAAGACTATTGTGAATTATCTAAGCAAAATTGTCATTTGGGGGTCTCAAATTGATTTTGAGTTCAAATTTTAATTTTAATAACATTTGTACTTTGTATAATCAGTAGATCTGGGTAATATCATGAATCTAGTTATATTTAAATTTTTTAACCTAGTGTCAGGTTCCACACTGACCAAGCAACTTACTTCACTGACAAAAACATGAAGGAAAGATTTACTGTATTGATAAAAGCATAAATATTAAGTGATTTTTCAAGTAATACCCATCATAATATGTTACACTTTCATGATTTACAAATAATTTGAATGCTCTTAAATTATCGTACCTATGTTGTTAGTCATATTTTCTCTTTGGCTATATCTATTTTGGATATTTCATTTTAAGAAAGCAATTTTTTCACATATAAACTGTGAAATAGTACATTTACTATTGGTAATAAATGACAAGTAAATATCAGGAAAGAAAATATGTTAAAATAGGCTAGCTCTCACCCAGTTAAATATTAATTTCCATCTGTTATAAGGAGAAGTATGTGATGTGATAGATTCATTAATTAGCCTGATTTAATATTTCCACATTGTAAACATAAACATCACATCAAACCCCATAAATATATACAATTATTTGTCAATTAAAAGTAAAAGAATTTTGGCCGGGCGCGGTGGCTCACGCCTGTAATCCTAGCACTCTGGGAGGCCGAGGTGGGCAGATCGCTCAAGGTCAGGAGTTCGAGACCAGCCTGAACAAGAGCGAGACCCTGTCCCTACTAAAAATACAAAGAAATTATCTAGATGACTAAAAATATATATAGAAAAAATTAGCTGAGCATGGTGGCGCATGCCTGTAGTCCCAGCTACTCGGGAGGCTGAGGCAGAAGGATCTCTTGAGCCCAGGAGTTTGAGGTTGCTGTGAGCTAGGCTGACGCCATGGCACTCTAGCCTGGGCAACAGAGCCAGACTTTGTCTCCAAAAAAAAAAAAAAAGTGAAAGAATTTTAATGTATCTTCAACCATAAAATGCTTTTTAAATTTATTAAGGATATGTTAATATGGATAAATTATAACTTGCATATTATTACAAACACAATATTCTGTTTTCAGTTCTGTTCGAATCTGGGATTATACTCAAGATGCTTGCATAAATGTTCTTAGTGGACACACGGCACCTGTGAGGGGATTGATGTGGAATACTGAGATTCCGTATCTACTCCTGTCCGGCAGCTGGGACTATACTATAAAAGTATGGGACACTCGAGAAGGAACTTGTTTGGATACTGTATATGATCATGGTGCAGATGTATATGGTAAAGTGTTTTTCATGTATTTGATATATTATTGATTATTATATTTATATATTAATGATGCTTATAATTTCTGAGCAATACCATATTTTTGAAGAAGTCTTACAATGTTTCATTTTTCTCAGAAAATATACATGTTTGTAATTGAAATATCAGAATATACAGAAGATAGAAAAAGTCATAAAAAATTATCAGAAGATGACTATTATTAGCACTGTGGTGTCTTTCTCTCCCTTTTTCTCTGCAAGTGTGTCTATGTTTTTGTATACACACACACACACACACACACACACACACACACACACACACACACATACACACACTGCCCAGATGTATCTATGGACAAATATACATGTATGGCATAGATTTTTCTCCTTTCCCTTACCATCACTCCAGAGGTAAGTTGTAGAACAGGAAATCAGTAATAGTGTAGATATAACTTATTTAGCCATGTCCTTGGATATTTAGGACAATGTTTTGTTTTTTAATATAATTGAGCTCAGTATGGAAAATCTGATTACATATCTTTTGCACAACACTTTACTCTCATATTTATTTGTATTTATTCTTATTTTTAAACCTTATTGGGCATTAGTGAGTAGATTAAGAATGCAAAAGTGATTTCTTAGAGAAAGAAACCCCAGTCCAGCCATTCAAATCCATATGCTTTACCCCAGTGGCCTTTTAGGTGAGGCAGTGTAGGACTGCATGTAGAAGAGAATCCTATTTGTTAATATCGAAATTGAAAGGTCCACAACTCTTTCATCTCAAAACCAGAACTTCAGTCTATCCACTGACTCACAGATACTATATACACTATTGGTGTTACAGTATACTTGCTGCTGCTTAACCACATGAAATATAATTTTAACATTTTCATCCAGGACCATTTGCTTTCTAGTAATTATTCAATTTTATATTCATATTTACAGAATCTACTCAATAATTTGTTACATTCTTATATTATTTTCTTGTGTTAAATGCAAATAGAAGGTTGACTCTGAGAACTTTTCGGTTATTCACAAGATTTCTTCATTACTTCAATTCTATAGAAGTTTTATGAGGTACATAAAAATAAAAAATATTTTTTATTTTTTCCATCAGGTTTAACATGCCATCCAAGTCGCCCCTTCACTATGGCCTCTTGCTCCCGTGATTCTACAGTGAGACTCTGGTCATTAACACCTTTAATCGCTCCTTTACAAATAAATATTCTGGCAGACAGATCTTGGGAAGAAATTATCGGGAACACTGGTATTGAACGTATGCATGTATCAGATTTTATTTTTAAATAATATGTTATAAGAATTCTTTTCTCACTGAATTATGTCTGTTCTTCAGATTATGCTATAGAACAAGGCACTCCTCCTCTATTGTGTGGTAAAGTGTCAAGAGATATTAGACAAGAAATAGAAAAACTAAGTGATAATCCTCGAGCAAAAAAACTAAGGTGGTTTTCAGAGTGTTTATCAGTAAGTATTATAGGAATTAACTGTGAACATTTCCCCTTTAACGAAAATGAATTATTACAATGGTTGTTATTAAGTTGTCACATATTTACATGCACCATCCTAATTCACTGGGTCCCTCTTAACATAATTTGTACACTATAAGAAAGCAGGGGTAAAACCAGAAACAATAAATGAGATAATGTATAGTTATTCTGTTAATTTTTAATTTCGATATGCCTGCATTATAATGTGTTTGAAGATGCAAAGTGCTGTGGGGTTTCACTATTATGTCTTTGATTATTGTGTATCAATATTTTAGCCTCCAGGTGGCAGTGACAATTTATGGAACTTGGTTGCTGTGATAAAAGGGCAAGATGATAGCTTACTCCCTCAGAACTACCACAAAGGAATAATGCATTTGAAACATCTGATTAAGTTTAGAACAGTGAGTAGTGTGTGCAACTATGATATGCTCAAGCAAATGTTTTTGCCTTTTTACTCTTAAAGTATAAACATGATTTAAAAAACAATAAAAATATATATGATTAGATTGGTAGACTGAAATAAGTGAATATTGAAGAGGTAAATCTTTGGTAAAACCAATCGTGAGAGTAAGAATTATTTTAGAACAGATTAAGTCAGTCACGGTTTTCATAGGTGGAATCTCATGAAATTCTTGAAAGGTCACTCAGAACTCCTTGAAAGGCTTGATCTTTACGCTATTACCAGATGATTGTGACATATGGACTACTCTAATTTTAGTCTTGGCTGTATTCTGGGATAGGTTTTACTAAAACTGATCATAATATAGCTCGTAATGAATTTCAGTGCAAAATTATTGGTTATACCTGGGGTAATATTCAGCACTTACAACAAAACCCACCCTGGCACCAGAAAGAAGAAATAGCTTATATATTTTTGAAATATCAGCAGTTAACTGTTAGAGCATGGAAAGATTTGTGCCAGGGATATTTCTGTAATGGTCATAAGTAACAGTTATTTTTATAAAGAAGTACTTTAATCATAAACTTAACAACTATTGACAGCAAGCTCTATTGACAGTATAGGAGCCAATTAAAGTGAGCCAGTAACTCTTTACTTTTATTAAAGGCCTTTATATCACTTTATCACTACCTTTTGGCGTCTGGACTCCTACATAACCACAACATCTGGAGAGTGTTAAGGACAATGAGATTCAATCTCTCCTCTCCAATCTCCATCCCCCACACACACCAAAACATTATGTTTAAGGAGGTATCATATTTTATAGATAAAAGTATTTTTAATATTAAATTTCCATAGCTGTGTGTTTGTAAAATATGTATCTATGTAATGTGTTTATGATCATCTGTTATCAACAGCTCTTGTAAAACAAAATTTTTAAAATTTTATTTTCTTTTTAACCAGTCTGAAGCCCAGGAGCTAACAACAGTCAAGATGTCTAAATTTGGCGGTGGTATTGGTGTCCCTACTAAAGAGGAAAGACTGAAGGAAGCTGCTGAAATACACTTGAGATTAGGACAAATTCAGAGATACTGTGAACTTATGGTGGAACTTGGAGAGGTAAGGCTCTATTAAAGTAAAGTTAATGAGTTTAACATAGTAGTCTAAGTATTAAGAATATATTTAGTTCTAAGTATTAAAAAGATGAAGCTTTTTCCCCCGAGATCTAATTGATTCTCTGCCAGTCTGATACTAAGTGGATAGGACAGTAATTATCAAAATGAGGTCTTTTTGAAGAAGTCTTACTGTCTTCCAGGCTAGCAGTGTCAGTATCACTTGGGACCCTGTTAGACATGCATGCATGTCCCACCCCAGACCTCCAGAATCAGAAACTCTGGGGATGGAGCCCAGTCATCTGTGCTTTTTTATAGGCCTTCCTGGTTATAAAAAGGGTGGGGTGGATTTTCTCTGCTAAATAATAGAATTTTACATATTTTATTTTAAAACATGTTAATATGAAGGGGACTTCAAAAAATTTGTGGAAAAGTAGAATTAAAAGATAAAAATAAAAGATAAAAATATTATTTCTCAAGGTAAGTTCCATCAAGTTCAAGACAGTTTTGTAACAGATGATACCAGCCATTTAGTCCATCCCTTAAAGAACTGACTGTCCTGGGACTTTAACCATGTCAATACAGTCTTCTTTATGTTTTTAACTGAAGCAAAATGGGTACCCTTTAAAGATATTTTAAGGTTAGGAAGCAAAAAGAAGTCAGAAGGAGCCAAATCAGGACTGTAAGGTGGATGTCTAATGATTTCCCATTGAAACTCTCACAAAATTTTCCTTGTTTAGTGAGAGGAATGAGCAGGAACATTGTTGTGGTGGGGAAGGACTCTCTGGTGAAACTTTCCTGGGTGTTTTTATGGTAAAGCTTTGGATTCCTTTCCCAAAACATGCATAACAAGCAGATGTTATCATTCTTTAGCTGGCCAAAAAGTCAACAAGCAAAATTCCTTGAACATCCCAAAAAACTGTGGCCATGAGTTTTGCTCTTGACTGATCTGTTTTGCTTTGACTGGACCACTCCCACCTCTTTGTAGCCACTGCTTTGATTGTGCTTTGGCATCAGGATTGTACTGGTGAAGACATGTTTCATTTCCCGATACAATTCTTTGAAGAAATGCTCCAGGACCTTGATTCTACTTATTTAAAATTTCCTTTGAAAGCTATACTCTTGTCTGCAACTGATCCGGTACAACAGTTTTGTCACCTATCAAGTGGAAAGTTTGCTCTTCTTTAATTTTTTAGTCATAATTGTATAAGCTGAACCAAGTGAAACATCAATGGTGTTGGCTATTGTTTGTGCTATTACTCACCAGTCCTCTTCAGTTAGGGCATGAACAAGGTGAATTTTTCCCTCACAAATTGATGTGGATAGTCTGCTGCTATGGGCTTCATCTTAAACATCATCTTGTACATTCTTAAAATGAGTTACCCATTTGTAAACTGCTGATTTCTTTGGGAAATTGTCCCTGTAAACTTTTTTCAAAGCATCAGTGATTTCACCATTCTTCCACTCAAGCTTCACCCTAAATTTGATGTTTCTTCTTGCTCCAATTTTAACAGAATTCATGTTGCTCTGACAGGGGCTCTTTTCAGACTGATGTCTTACTCTTGTTAGTGCCCCAAACTACATCCTGTTCAGACATATTATATATAACAAGTTAGTATGAGTTCATTTTGGTGCAAAAAAATTTGAAATCTATGTATTTTTTTCAAAATATGCATTTTCCATGAACTTTTTGAAGAACCCTCATATTTATACTATATGGAATGCATGAGATAGAATACAAAAGTATTCTTGAAAATTCAAAAACTCTAAAATTGCTGCATTCTAAATACGAATTCATTAAAAAAGTCTTTTAAGAATTACATAGTGCAATCAAAATAGATATGCTTCTGCTCTTCTTGCCTTTTATTCTAGTGGGACAAAGCCCTGTCAGTTGCACCAGGGGTCTCTGTGAAATACTGGAAGAAGTTAATGCAGAGGTAAGGGAGAGATTCTGTTTTCAAATCATTTGTCAAAATAGAAACAGTATATAACTATGGGAATAACTCGTGGGACCTTTTAATTCTTATATTGTCTTAACTTATTAATAATAACTGAATTTTTTATCTACTGATACAATAAATTAAATGAATCTGTTACAAGTCATTTTGGTGTTCTTATATTTGACTTGAACTCTGATGAAAACAATGGAAGGCAAATTTTCCCACATCGATGGGGAAAAAGAAAGATCAGCAAACATACTCACTAGTTAATATATTGCTATTTGAATATAAGTAATAAGACTTTCTGAATATTACCAAAAGTTCATAGAATACTATTTTATAAATAATCTCAAAAATTCTCTCTGTAGACATTAATTTCTGCCATTTCCTCCCCATGGATATGAGGGAGGTACTGATGATAAAGAAGGGTCTGGCCACTGAGGAAACTAACATTTTTGTCTTAGAATGCACTAAACCAACAAGAGTTTGGTTTGTATTAGTGTTGTATTAGTGTTGTAATTAGAGTTGTATTAGTGTCCTGTGGTTATCATAACAAATTCCCACAAACTGGGTGGCCTAAACCAATAGAAATTTATTCTCTCACGACTCTGGAGGCCAGAAGTTCAAAATCACATTGTCATCAAAGTTGGTTCCTGCCAGAGGCTCTGAGAAAGAATCAGTCCTGTGCTTCTCTCCCAGCTTCTGCTGGTGACCAGCAGTCCTTGGCACCTTGTGGCTTGTAGATGCATCTCTCCCGTCTCTGCCTCATCTTCACAAAGCATTTTCCTCTGTGTCTCCGTGCCCAAATTTCCTCTTCTTATAATGACACAAGTCATACTGGATTTAGGGCCTATCCTCATCCAGTATGGCCCCATGTTAATTTAACTAATTACTAAGGTAACAGTCACGGGTACCATGGGTTAGGACTTCAGCATATCTTTTGGGGGGATACATTATACAACATACAATTATTGTTTTCCATTCTATTCTGTGATACTCATTCATTTAACAAATATTATATTTATTTAGTGCCCGCTACGTGCCAATCACTATGCCAGGCTTGTAGAGTACTCTAAAATAAATAGTTACCTTGCTTTAAAAGAGAAATTTTGAATTTTTTATAGGACATGGTTAGGAGAAAAAAATAAACTGCTATTCACACATACAAATAAAAATTAATCAAGGGCTAAGCGTGAAATTCAGAAGGATTAACACATTTGCCATGGGAAAGTACACTGTTCCCAACACCTACTTGCCCAACAATATGTTAAGCAGGCTCTAGTCCTCCGACTGCGGGCTCCCTGTCCTAAGCTCTAAGAATCCCCAATACATCTAAGTTCCTGTACCCTGACAGCATAATTCTGAATGTTATTGCTCCCACTGAATCCTTAATAAAGTCAGGTTAGCAGAGAATATTTATTTCACAAAACATTGTTTCAAAGTCAACAAAAACTTAATTGAATGCCAGTTAGGACCAAGGTATAGTCACTCTATGTTAATAATTTGCAGAATAAAAGTAAAACTATTTTATATTCTGTATGCTTGTTGACATACTTTTCTATATTAATATGCTACTACATTGCTTTTATGATAGTTATCTGTGAGTTTAAAATGTTGTGTATCCTCAGATATATTGTAACAGAGTAAACCTTTCACGAACTAGTGCATTTGGACTGAGCTGTAAAGGATACATAGAGGATAACCACGTGAAGGGGCTAGAGGAAATGATCCAGGCCTAGGGAGCAGAGAGTAAAGGAGCTCTGAAAGGAGGCTTCTGTAGCTGGAGTACAGACGCCAGGGGGAGGTGACGCCAAGTGAAAGTGGAAAGGTTAGCCCAAGCTAGGTGTTTTAGGGCTTTATAAACATATTAAGTCTTTTTTTCTCTATCCTAAGAGCAATTGAAAACATTAAAAGGTTTTAAATAGGGTACAAAATGACCTGACTAGTTCTTTGTTTCAAAAGTTTACACAAACTGAAATACCAAGAACAGATTAGAGAAGATCAATAACAGACGTGAGGAAACCAGTTGGAAAACAATTAGAATAGCCAAGTGAAGCGATGACAGTAGCATAGAGGCATCATATGGTGGAGGAGATGGAGAAAAGTAGACACATTTGATATATTTAGGAGTTAAATTTAACTGGACCTGGTAATAAAGATATGGAAGGTATCAAATAATTCCTAGGTTTTAGGTTTGAAAAACTGGATAGAAGGTGTTGCTATTCACTGGGATCGAAAAACCAAACAAAACAAACTACCACCAAAAAAAAAGAAAAATCTTAGTAAAAGATTTGAATCAAATGGGACATAAGATCGTGAGTTCTCTTTGGAGCTCTTGAGCTTGAGTTTCCTTTGTGATTTTAGTGGCAATGTCAAGTAGGCAATCTTGATTCTACAGCCTAAAGAAGAAATCTGGACAACATGGAGGGTATTGTTGACCTTGGTAAGAGGTGTTTTGGCAGAAAGAAGGAGAAGGAAGCAAGATTCGAATAGGTTAAGTGAGGCAGGGGAGGAAAGGAAGGAGGCAGATGGGAATAAAGACGACTCTTCCAGCTCTATGTCATTTGTCTTCGAAAGCCAGCACCTGTCTCTGCTCCTTAGTCCACGTAGTGGCCAGTAGTGGTCTCCTCACAATTCTTGTATTTATATTTTATACTCAGCCATTCATAGAGGTTGATTGGTGGTCTCTCAACCCTAGTTCCAAATCCCCAGGAAGGTAGAATGTTATTTCTAAACAGCTATAATGAGGAAACTAAAGTCACTTAGTAAAATCGTAGCTGCTAAGGAGTAGTCCTGTGAGTCTATGAATTGGAGACTGTGAACAGCAGCTGGGCAAACAGCACGAACTGTGTCTTCTACACCTACCCAGAGATTAGAAATTGAACTCGAGTTTAATGCAAATGCTAGCATGAATATACCAAGATATTTTTAAACAAAACTGAGAATAAACTTTAAGGGTGGAATTACCTAGGTTGGTCATTGAGAAACTACCTGGGACTTAGATGGGAAGAGAGACACACAGACTGACAGACAGACAGTGATGGGTGCAGAGAGACAGAGACAGATATACAGAAACAGAGGTATGTACACCCTTCACAGTCTCCACCATCCTGATCCTCTTTTCCCCTTCACACATCTGTAACATTATTCTTCTGTAAACTTCCTTGCTTGGGACACTTAAAGTATTCTGCATTTTATTGTCAAGATTTATGATCCTGTATTATGCGTTTTAATGATTTTTAAGCTACTTCAGTTTAGAGGCTCTCTGTTTATTGCCATGCTCACTAGAAATTCTTCTGTCTTTAACAGTGTAAACACTCATGTATTTGATTAATCCGGTTCCATTACACATATCTGGTTTACAGCTTATTTTCAAATAAATACATTGCTCATTTTAATAGATAAGCTACATTGATTTTAAAAATTAAAATGTTCAGGGCAAT